CCCCCGGCCTCCCACAGCCCCGCTCCCGAACAGGGCAGCAAGAACGCAGCTGATGGCAGCCTAATGAATCTTTTTCATTAGCATTGGATTAGAATCACATTCCAGTTCATATATTCAGCCTAAATTTTAAAGCTAGGGCATATAAAATCTGCCTTTAAGAGGAAGTAAAAAACTCTAGAGAAAGGAAGAAGATACTGTGTTTACATTTTAACAACATTACCCTCTTATGATTCTCCCCATATTCTAACTGCCTCAGTGTTTGAGTTCCTTCTCCTCACCATCACTCTCCTGGTTGTTCCAACACCCTGTCCCCTCTTTGCTACCTTCTTTTGTTAACTTCTAAATGGAAGTGCCACCTCAGACACGGCTTGGAATTCATGCCCTGCTACCTTGTTCTGGGCAGCACCAGCACCAGAGTTCTCTCAGCTTCCCAGCCCACTCAGCTGCGATGTGCCAGCCCCCAGCAGGCAGCATGGCACTGCCTGCCACCGGCTGCCTACTCTTTGTGGGCACTATGTGTTCACCCAGGTAATCTTTCCAAGTACACATCACTTTCAAACCAAATGCATTTCTGATTTCATGTGGACACACTATAGACTGTTAAAAATTTAGGTAAAGCACCACAAAGAGGGCCCACAGCAACAGTCCAGCACCTGAGCCTCCAGTGAGACTTACCTTTATAATTTTCAATTTGTGTCGGGGACTGGCTCTGTAAAATACTGCAACCTGTTAAAGCACAATGAAGTAGTGACAGCATCAGAAATGTAGAGAACTTCACTGGATTCTATAGAGCTAGAGGATAAAAATGCTTTTAAAGGCCAGCTGTACTCTTGTTAGCTCTGAAGTTGAAGCACCAGTGAGCTGTGTTTTAAATAGAGTGACATCATTAATTCCAGAGAAGACCCAGTGTACTCTGGTAAACAAAGCTGGTGCTACCTATTTCAAAAGGGAATATGCAGTTGCTTTTGGGTTTACTTCAATTCTAATGAGATTTTAAATAAAGGCCTAGAAAGGTCCTAGGTCAAGCATGCACAACATAAATTTATAGCTATTTCAGTTAAGGTGGACAGACCTTAAGTTCCACCAAATAAACCCCAAAATTACTTTTTGCCGCACAACTCTTGTTTCTAAGTTTGTCTTTGTGAGCCACCAAGAAAATACAGAGCTGACATGCACATTTCTTGATTGTAAATGTTGGCTTTTAGCTTGCTTGCATCAGACTCAAGCATGCTGCAGTTTAATTTTGCAATCTGCTGCAAGCAGAGCAGCATTTCCATGCATAAATTCTGCAACACGGTCAAGTCTGAACCTCAATTTCATTTGATTGTGCCTTCACATTTAGAACCTGGACACTGGATAATAGATTCAGTTATTTAATAACTGAGAAGTATTAAGCAGTGACCTAACAGATAAGACTCTTTCAAAATTCTCACCCAGTGACTGCAGATTGATTAAAAATCTTTAAAGATATCGACAGCTCCTCTTACCAGCTACAAAAGGACAGACTGCCTGAACATGCAGCAGTGAGGTTACAGATCTGAGCTACTCAAAGAACCAAAATGGTCTAGCAATACAAAAAGGCAACGATGCTCACGGAAAGGGAGGTGACAAAATGAGAGTTCCAATACAGGCATTGAAAGGTAAAAAACAAACTGAACCACTAAAAGAGACAAAAAGTAATAAACTCACTAAAAAGATAACCATATGAGCTGAAAGAAATGGGTTCTCATGCCATCATATATCAAACCAAAAGATACTTGTTTTATCTAGGACAGCTTCTATGTTTCTGTACTAAAAGCCTCTGGTAATACTATCACTTCTATGATAACCATGTTAATTCATATCTCAGGAATTACATTTAAGCTTTCCACATAAAAAAAGCATTTTTCAATACAGAATATATCCTTTGCTACATTTCAATAAGCACTGTATCAAAACAAACCTTTGGTGTTATTTGAGAAAGCTGCTGAATATCCAAATCATCTATTTCTTCTCCAGAGATTGCCTGTGAATTTTTGGAATACAATCCTAGTCGACTAGCTGGAAATAAATAGTAAAAAAGGTGTTGTAAAACACTAAGTACACAATTATTTTTTTTAAGCCTGTGATTTTCTGCAGCATTCCTGCTCCAGGCATGTCAAATCTGAACACCTCATTGATTCAGTATACTGCAACAAACTACCTAAACTCATGCTACAAAGTCTATTCTAAACAGATATTTATTTCCTTGGACTTTTTAGGTCTAAAGGTCTGTACTTCACCACATTAGGTGCCAAATAAACACAAGAGCTCAGTCCTCTCTAAAGAACTCACAGCTCAAACATAAGACAGAAAATAAAAAATCACACAGGGGAGACAAGGTAAGGAAACCAAAGTGTCACTTCAGGCTAGGGGGTTGTCTGGGGAGTTGTTTGGGGGGTGCTATCCCTCTGGATTCCACAGTGCCATCTGTTAACCCAGCACAAGGAACTGGGAAATGCTGAAGACCTAATGAGCTTCACAACTCTTGGCACTGCCAACACAAAAACCAGTGAGAAATGAAACATGGGCTACTCGTACCAATGGCAACTGCAGTCTCCTGAGAATCTCCAGTGATCATTTTTATTGCAACTCCTGAGGTGATAAGTGTAGTCACAGCTTCCTTCACACCAGTACGGGGAGGATCAATTATTCCCACAAGTCCCAGAAATGTCAGTTGTCCTAACTCAGGACCAGAAGCCAAGGCCAACACTTTTAGGAGACAAAGGAAAAAAAACCCTAAGTTAAGATTTGAAATTAACATTTACATCAGCATTTAAAACAACCATTTTAAAACCGTAGGGCAGCATGAAGCAAAGGGAGGGAACTGCAGTTTTCTTCTAAGCCTTGGTAGCAAGGTCTGTTACCCTGAGTATTCAGCACAGCCTACTGTGTACCTGCCTGTCTTCTGAAGAGTAGCCCTTACCAAAGGTACATATTCCAGCTCCTGCAGATAACTCTCCTACTTACTCTCAGATGAAAGTGCTTCTGCAGTGTGTGGAAGAACGGTATCCAGCTGTGTGGTGGCCTGCACACCTGTGCTCTGACACAAAAGGATGACAGGCAGGATCACTTAATGTATTTTATTGTCTGTGTTGCCTTGCCTTTTCTTTTGGAGAGGCAAATTTCATTGAGTACGTGCTGGATATTTTCTGTAATGTCTTATTGTCTTATACGGTAGAAATCTTAATTCAAACACATCTAAATGACATTAGACTTGTAAGGGAAAAAGCAAATTCCCTTTTTTCAAAACACTACCCTAGATTTTCTTGTTTGACAGCAGTCTGAAGCAGACACAAGAATGACTGTCTGAACAAAATGGCACAGAGACACCACTCCTAGCCCTCCCTCTCAGTTCTAATAATTTGCATCCTCAGAATTTCCTGAGCCACACAGCACCCCTAACTTCAAAAAAAAATGTCACAGTCACACACAAGAGATGACAGAACCAGGAGGGCCTTTTCTCACCCTCCACAATTTAATCACATTATCACATAGGCCTTTAGGCAACAGCACCTGTTTTTCTACTCCCTCATTTAAAGAAAAACTCAACAACCCAGAGGAACTTACTGAATCAAAGCAAAATTTCTAATGTTTTTCACTCTTCTTGTTTTTTTTTAAAATAAGCAGCACCTTTTAAAAAAAATTAAAAATGGTTTTGAGACACTGAAGAGCCTTACCCCTAAGTCCTGCAGAGCCCATAGAGGTCTTCTCCTGCTGGTACTGCTCCCTCTGTTGCTGAACAAGAGGCAGGGTCTGCCCCTTACAGTTGTATGATGTACAGTACCTAATGACTTGCTCATAAGCACCTTTCATAAAGCAAACCTCTGGTTTGTCCTAAAAGGAAGAAGAATTGTTGTGTGCACATGTGTGTATGTGCATATAAATACACACACAGCTATGTGCACACGTAAGAACAGCAGATCTGTACTTCCCTTAAGAGTCTTCAGAACACAAAGCAAATCAAAGTTACACTTCCAAACCTAAAAATCTGTTGAGTATCTCTATACAGCGTATGCCCAGGACTGGCAATGTCACAAGAGCCAAGCTAACAATCAGAACCTCATTTGAGTAGACATTGTAGACATTAGACAGAGCAGGTCACAGTTAGAGACTGAAGAGGCCATGAAAAGGACAGAGTTAGACCTACACAGAACATCAGACCTGAAAGACCTTTAGCTCATCATCTGCCCAGCTGCACAGGTCATCAAACATCACCTGCATCCATACTCCAGGACCGTGCTACCCCCAGCCTGCTGCAAGGGCTGAAGTGGCAAATGAGGGTGCTGAGCACGGCAGAGCTGTTGTGCAAAGGCCGCACACCCGCAGCGGCTGACGCTCACCTGCTGTGTTCTGTGAACACACTTAACGGCCATCCACTTCTGTTCCGAGCTGAAGGGGTATTCTGCCTTCCTGATGTAGTCCTCCTGGAGTCCATCTAAGCCCATCTGTGTAAAGCAGAAGTACCCCCACCACGTCAGGACCTTTCCTTTCACACTGCTATGCAATTCATTGACTTGTTGAGACATCTTACTTAACAAACATTACTTAGTTAAAAAACCAGTTTCATCTTCAGTTGCTTTTGAGCATACTGTTCCAGTTTAGACAAGCTAGCACTGAAAGAGCCTAGAAGCTTCTCTCAGGCTTTGCTGTACATCAGGCCATTTAACACCACATACTTTAAAAGCACCATCAAGTACACACCTTCATGGCAAGTGCAATTAAAGCCCCTTCTGTTGGCTTCCCCATCAGCGTGTTGTTTCTAATCAAAGCATCATTGCACACACAACCGGCCTAAAAGGTGAGGAAAGAAAGGGGAGAAAACAGAACACAAAGTAAATTCCATACACAGCTCTTGTGCAACATCACCAATTAATACTCACCTCTCTGTGTCAAGATCTTACCTCAACAATTTTGCTAATGGACGGGTTGTTATAACCATGAATAACTTCACCATCAAGCATCACTTCTCCAAACCTGTTATAGCCTACTCCAGTAACCTGCAGGGCAAACAGCCAGAGGCAGTACACACTGCTGTGTTCTCCAGGTTCATGAACAGTTTGAATCTCAGCTTTTTACTTTAAACTACAGAAAACTTTTAAAAGGCCATTCATAATGACTGACTTTGCTCAGTGTGAGTGGATTCTCCTACTCAGTTTCTAATGTAGCAAGTACTAGAACAGGAATTATTCTAAGGATTCTAACAATTCTACTATCATTAAGGAATAAAAACCATGGGCAGATGAGTTACTAGAGACCAATTTTTTAAGTAGCACGTTTATTCCTTAGCATAAATAAACACAGTGTGTGTTGCTCCCTTACAGTATCAGGCATGCTTTGTCTTCCTAACAAATCTACACTTGCTTAACCTCAGGTTTACCTGCAGTGTGCTGAACCACGTTTCAGCTGATACACACAACCAAGTAAAAAGGAAAATTAAAATCCAACAATCTCACTACATACCTCAGCGTGCTGCCCATCTGAAGTAAAAATATGAGTAACAGTCATTTCATTCTTTGTCAGAGTTCCAGTCTTATCTGAGCAAATTACATTGCAACAACCTGAAATAGGCAGTTAACATTTATAAGACAATGCTTGTTTAGAACAATGTGAATAACCAGAATAAAAGTACTCAAGACAAGTGAATTTCTAGAAATACTGCAGCTGTCTTTGTGAATAACCAAAACGAGCTCTAAGACCGAAAGACAGTTTTCAGCCACGAATGGACAGCTGTACAAGGCTCCTCACAAATCTGTCCAATAAATGAAAAAGCCACCTCATTAAAATCCCACATTCACAACCCATCTGCAACACTTCCACCCAGCACCTCTCTTCCACTTCACCCTGCTGCATCTCAAGCTCCATGGCTGCAGCCTCAGTGGTGGCTCCTGGTGAGGAAGAGCCAGGAGCCCGCTGCGCGCCCGGTGCCCTGCTCTGCCCAAACCACTCCCCCTGCCCAGCGGGAGCCACAGCCCTCTGCACACAGGAAATACAGGAGGATTGAAAAGATTATGGAAGGGTGAAATTTACACATGCCTTTAACTCAGGAAAAAGAGGATTTTGAAAGCCTGTTGCAATACGTCTGGACATTTTCAGACACGACAGCAAAAATTGCAAAAGCAACCCCAGACTCCTGCAGTGCCAGTGGAGCTCTGCCATGGGGACTGCAAAAAGCATTCTCCATTGTCAAACACAGAAGGAAATTAAAATGCAGCAGGATTATTTAACTTAGTATTTCTATTTGTTTTCCACGTCCTGTGCTTTACGTGTTTCATGATTGAAACTGCATAGAGAATACTTTTAAACTTCTTTAATTTTGCTTTAAAATTCTTTTAAGTTTTGATATGAGCACCATAACATTTTCAAGGTGCATTATGATCACAAGGCTTTTTGTAATATTCAAATTTGGATGCTTGCAACTGTCAATATAACTTCTAAATGCACAGCAAAAATTTTGTTTCAAAAACCGTTTTACAAGTGTTATTTAACAAGAACATCTTAACAAGTATAAAGAGTGCCACTTACATCCAATCACTCATGCAGTTTAGAGGATTACTGGTCAGTTAATATTGTATCACACTAACTGTTTAATTCAGTTAAATTTTTTTATAAAAATGTAGTTACAGGACCCACAAAATCCTATCCCTGGATTCTAGCTGTGTAAAATGCATTCAACTTAAAAATGTTTTAAGGATACCACCACACTGCTAGCAAAATATGAAGAGCTGCTTTATTTTAAGCATTACTCATTGATGTTTGTGTGGATTTCCTCACACTGGTATCTCTTCAGTCAGCATCACCATACCTAAAGTTTCCACAATAGGCAGTTTTTTTACAATAGCCCGTTTCTTCACCATCCTCATCACACCAAGGGCCAGGGTCACTGTTACCACAATTGGGAGTCCTTCAGGGATTGCAGCTACAGCCAAACTGCAATGAAAGTAAATACATAGAGCTTGCCTTGAGACTGCACATGTAATACCCACAACAGTGCTGCTGCAGCTGCCCATCCACTGAGGTTTGGAGTGAGAAGCAGCAGCAGCCAGGGGATTCCAGTCATACTCCATTCCTGGCAAAGTACACACTGAAACACAATAACTTAGACATTTCTACTCATTACTATTCAAATGTATGAAGAAATGCTAGGGGAGGGAGAAATCAGCTGTACATCTGTTTTGCCTGCACAAAACACTAATTAGGACTGTGCAAAGCAGCCAAGAATAGGTGTAGTCAGCACTGAACAGCACTGGGAAATGCCACCACACCAAGTGAGCACTGATGCACAGCTGTTACCTCCAGATCAGGAGGGGGCAGCAAGCTGAGCACAGCAAGGGCACAGAAGGTCATTTAAAAACCAAAGAAATAAAAAACCTGAGTGAGAGTGAGGTCACAACAACTCATTGGGAAATGCTCAAAGATGCACCAAAGATGGTGCTTGTTTCCCCCTCCCCACAAGGGTAGATCTCCAGAGTCTGATCTGGTGATTTAAAGACATGGTTCTGCCTTACACACTGTCTGTCTAATTAGCAACTCAGCAACTTTTCTAGGAATACAAAGTGAGATCATCTTAATTCAGTGTGAGCCTCAGCAAACGACATCCTGGGATTAAGTTTCCATAATATGCTAGAAAATGAGCTAATGGACTGTGTGACATGAGCCTTGTAGTAACTTTGTTTTGTCTGATGCCACTTAGATAATTACATTTATCTACTCAGAGATGGAAATTCAAACTGTGCTACTGTATTGTCCACTTGCAGATGTTCCACAGGATGCTCAGAGATCAACAACACACAGTTTGAGGCTGACAAGAACATCCCGGATCATTAAAAGGGAGTATGAGTTTCCCTTTTTACAGCACAAAGTCTGTTTTCATTTTGGATTACTTATGTGAGCTTCAAAGCAGAGTCTGAGTGAAGGCTGTTACAATACACCTCCCTAGCTTTCACACTCTTGCTATGGTGCACTGCCTACACCAGTTTCAGCAG